TGGATTGGATGCTGCCTGATTCATGAATTGCTGAATAAAAGTCTACTAGATCAGTAAACTGTCTGTGGAAAATTTTCTTTTAATGGTTTATATAGACTAGAGATAGAAGTTAGCCTCCATCCTCCCATGTGGAAGAGCAGATGACACTGAGAGTTTAAGCTGTATAAGCCCCGTGCCAAACTTGGGGCTTGCAGACTTATCAGCTCCCTCCAGCCCTGAGGATACTGGGTATTAGATGCTGATGTGGAGAGGAAGGCACAGTGAGGACAGGAAATGGTTACCACTGGCTGTGTATCAGGAAAAGGACCCGCACTGCAGATGGGTGTCTTTTCCACCCTGTACCATTCTTTGATTCTCCTCTTAATCCATTCTCTGGAGCTGCTCTCAGGCTTTCCTTGGCCAAGGATGAGATCAGGATCTTGCTGATAACTCAGGTTGACATGTGCACTGAAGCGGGGGGACCCAGGACAATATCTGCCTGAAACCTTGGCCAGTTCATGGTTCTTCAGTTCCATCTAGCTCTGCCTTAAGGCTAGAGATGGTACCTGACCTGGGTGGGTACTGGAGATAAGAGAAAACAGGAGTCTACAGGTCGATCCTGTATTTGTGAGGAAAATGGATTTGTTCCAAAGCAATTACATTAGAAATCATCAAGAAGATGACGGCGCTTCCTGGAAGTTCACAGTGGCTATCCATGTGTTGGCAGCAGTAGGAAGCAGGGGACAGGTATAAGCTCTTCAGGAATTCTAGATTAGCTGGTCCTGGCTCCCCCACAGAAGGTCACGTCCTCTTGATCTTGATGAAAGTCTGCTCCTCTCACTGTCTTTCTTCTGAACCCCTGCTTATTCATCCTTATGACGGGAATGTGGCTTCCATACCCTGGGTCCCTATGAGGTTTTGAGTAATCTGACAATGCATTATGCTTTTCCGAAAACTGACATCAAGAGATTGTATAAGTTTGATTCTTATGTGTATACAAGTCTTCCTGAGTAGAGCTGACTACAGGTTCAGCTTGTGAGTTTTTGGAATAACAGGTCTGAAGACCCAGCCTGGGGCCACAGTGCAAACACTGGTCCTATCAGCCATTGAGTTTCTCACAGTGACATCCTGGCTTTGTTTCCCTAAATGCATGTAACTTGAGGTTATTATTATTATTATAATTATAATAAATTAATTGACAAAGGTACACATTTCTGATCAACTCTGCATCGCCTGGGGGAGAATAAAACAGCAGAGACTTCTACCCACTGTTCCTTAGGATTTCACTAAATAGAACATGCAATCAGAAAATGGGGAGAGAAGAAGGGAGAGAGAGAAGAAAAGGGAGAGAGGAGGAAAAGCAGAGGGAGGGTGTTGGAGGGATGCTTATTTCCAGAGCAGAGTCATTCCAAGATACCATGAGCAGCAAATTAAACGATCCTTCAGCAAGAATTCTGACAAGGAAATTTCATTAGGGATTTACATCTCTATGGAAGCTCAAGTTGCTGCATTAAGATATGAAAATTGTGCAAATATTGCTCCTTAGAATAATGTTTGCTGCAGGTCACTGAGTTTCAGCCAATGAAATTTAGAGTGATAAATATCATATTGAAAATAACTAGAGGAAGGAGGGGCCTAGGAAAGGAAGGAAAGAGCCCTGCAGTTGGGAGCTCAGGTCCCAAAGTCATGTGGATTGGAAGTTAGACTCCAGCATTAACTAGCTGTGGGACCTTGAGCAAGTTGATTTAATATCTCCGAGGCCTAATTTCTTCATCTACAAAATGTGGTCATTTGCCAGTAACTCTGCTGGACTTTGATTGTGAGGGTTTAATGAGATAATCCAAGTAAAGTCCTTTGGCCCAGTGCCTAACACACGTAAACTCTGAACACATATTAGTATGATTACAATGAATGAGCAAGGAAGTAGGCTGATGTTTACCTGGAACTGACCTCCTGTCAATCATGGTGATAGATGCCTATAGGTATTATTATTGGCAGTATACAGATGACAGGCCTGAGGCTCAGGGGCTTAATAAATCTGCCAAGATCACAAAGGAATAAATGTTTCTGCCAGAAACAGGCCCATGCTTATGTGTCTACATGTTTTTCTCCCTCACTAGCCTTGGGGGCCTTAGAGCCTAAATCCTGTTTGTACACTTCTGTACTAAGAGAATCTGACCAATTATAGATGGCCCTTGGTGGGTGCTCAGAAAATATTTGGGGAAGGAATTAATGATCACATAAGTAAATAGATGCATGCATAGATGAATGGGAAATAAATGCTTTTCCCATTTAAACTGTGTCACAGGGACTCACCCGTAGGTTTCTCAATGTTTTGTTTTGTTTTTTTGAATTTCAAGGTGTATAGTCAGGACACTCAAGATGGCTGTTCTCTGGACATCCCCTGCTCAACTAGACTAGTGTCTGCCTCACCTACACCCTACTCACCTGACTGACGTTCTTACATACTTGCCCCAGGCTCCAGCTAATGACTGTCCTAGCTTTAGATCAGAACATCTCCACTCTGATAGCTTATCAAAGGGGCAGTGAGAAGCAGGCTGTCCCTCTGCTGGTTTCCCTGGTAACCAATGAGCCGACCTGATGTTAATTTCCCCTGTAACTGGTGACCCTGCCCCCCACCCCAGCAAAGCCCCCACCATGTTCTGCCCGCCGTCTGCCACAGATGGTGGGGTCCTGCTCCAGGACCTTGCTTCAGACATGTAAGCTTCCTCATCCATTAAGCCACTGCTGTCTCTTGCTGACTCTGGGCTCTTTCTTTGGTGTTGAAGCTGGGCAAGCACAGGGCTTGCAGGCCTGTGTCGTGCGGCCCAACACAAGGCATCCTGGCATTTTGATTCACATAATATGTCATTTTACAGAAAACAGGATAAAAAGGAAAATTTTTCATATACTTCTATAACCCCAATACTTAAAGTTCCCTTTTAGCATTTTAGTATATGTTTTTTTCCACCTTTGGACCAAAGAAAGTTCTTATTGCAATCTTACATGAAAATAATTTTCTAACTTGCTGTTTCACTTAATAGGACTATTTCATACAGCTCTTATTTAAATAATTTACTGGAACATGATCGATGTGCCACATAATGTGCTCCTTAAACATAATCTTGTTTTTCAGAATGTGTCTATTTTTTCACCATTGTAAGTATTGTTGAACTAAATATTTTTGTGTATGTGAGACCAAGGTTTTCAGGGTTGGTGACTCTGATCATGGGATCATTTTTCTTTGAGAAGCACACAGTCCTTATAGCGGCCTCATTCTCAGCTTTTGCAGTGATGGACTATCATATTCAACTGAATGGCAAAGGTTTGATTAGACTGTGTAAAGAAAGATTATTTTACCCATTCTGTACCATATGCAAGCCCTGTCCCAGTACCCGTACTGGACAGATATTCCACAGCTATATAGGAAAAGAGAGAGAAAGGAAGGAAGGAAGGAAGGAAGGAAGGGAGGAAGGGAGGGAGGGAAGAAGGGAGGGGAAGGGAGGAAGCATAAAGGGATGCAAGAAAATAATAAAGAGAAGAAAAGGAAAGGGGACAATAAAAGGGAAGGAAAGAGAAAGAAAGAAGGGGAAAAAAAAAACAAAGAGGGAAGCTAAGTATAATATATCAAAGTGAATAAAAAGAGAAAGAAAGAAATCAGCAAACCCACTCTTCTCTGTAAGATTTCTAGTATTCCAAATTATATGTCTCTAGCCACAACCATACCTTTTAGACATCAGCTTAGCAAGTGGCAAAAATCACAAGATAGGAAAGATTCAACACATTCTAGTAACTGCCCCCTACCTGGGAAACTCCTATAGACCAGAGCCTCACATTTCAGAGAACACAGATCATGGCTAGCTTGGTTGCTGGCTTTTAGGCAACAACCACCTTTCTCTAGGAGAGCTAAATTTGCAAAAAAAAGAGGAGCGAACGCCGTACAGTGGCAGCTTGCCTTGACAAGATAAAACACAAGCAAACTGAATTAAACAAGAATTTCCTTTTTAAAAAATATTACATTTACCCGAGGAAACATACCTCAAAATTCAAGGGGGAAATGGAAATATGCATTTTGAAAAGGTGTTGAAGGATGGCTAAACATGGTCGTTACGCAGCGACGTGCACATTCACAGACCGGGTGACCTCTGGCTGTTGTCAATGCATGATAAAGTTTATGCTATGCATGTTTGGTATTCAGAGAACCAAAATCTTGCCTTTACGATTTGGAAATGTCTGTCATTATCTTCACTGAACTAAACTTCTGATTCACTGAAAGTCCCCTTTTCCTTAGTGGCAATGCAATTGTAGCAGTCATTGAAAGAGCTGATCATTTACAGATAAAGTAAAAATTTCACATTTGACCAGAATTGGGCATATTCATATAGAACGTTACTTTTTACTCTGTATAGAGACAGAAACTAATGAGTGGCAATATTTTTTAGTGGCAAATTGTCTTCTTTCATGAATGGAAAACCAAATAATTTGCCATTGGTACAGTAATCGCTGATACTCGAAGAGTGTTGCTAAAAATGAGGTTTTCACAGTTGGTTTGAAAACTTCTTATATAATTTTTTATGTGTATTTCCTTACTTTAGGAAGGTAAAGGTTAATAGGTTTAATATTTTCACAAATTACCAACCAGTGGGTAAGAAGCAATACGATACTATAGTTCTCATAATACTCTTTTGGATAAAAAATAAGGTCTTTTATGTTTCTATATTCTTGCTTTCATAATGGAGTGATAGTGGGGGAGTCTGAAAGCTAAGGGAGCAGGACTTGCTGCAGCTCCCAGCAGAGGGTTGTGGTAGAGATGAATCTGGAAATCAGACCCCATCCCTGGAGAAGACCTACACCTGGACAGAGACAGTTCTGAACAAACTTTGAATGTGAGTGTCTGTCCCGAGCTCCCACCCTTGGCAGCACTCAGAGACACAAAACTGAGATACAGCCGTCAGTGAGTTAGCAACTGTGGCTCAGAGTTTTATATTGTGTTAGAGACAGAAGAAAAACGCTTGACCTACTTGGATCCGATAAGATGGAATCAGTTTTCGGCAGAAATTGATCACAACGGACTCCTTGGTAGCCTTCTTTGCACCTAAGAAAAGGGGTAAACGACAAACATATGCATGTGTTTGTGAATGGTTCGAGATTTCAACAAGCAAAGTAGCCACCAATTACATCACCGTGAGAACAGTACATTCATGCTTTTGTATGGCTTGGTTCAGTCTGTTTCTAACATTGATAGTAGGTGAATTTTAGTCATGTCTGTGTAAAAAAACAGCACCACTTTGCTTTTATAGTTTTATAGGTAATATCTAATGAGCAAACTTAGTGGCAATGTAAGATGCCCCTCATAGCAGTATGAAGAATGGTTACCCTCATAATTCTGCAGGATTCTTTACGCAACACACTGGTCTCTAAACGACTGCAAATACCCCTTCGTAAAGCATATTGCAAGTGTTATTTTCCTAACAAAAAATCATTTTCTAACATGATTGATCAAATATTATCAGTAGATCTGGGCTGTTTATTTTCCTCGTGTTTTACTAGTTTATTCATTTGCTAATTTTACCTTTTTTTTTTTTTTTTTTTAACTTAGCAATTCTTCCAGTCAGTGCCGCCTAACTGCTGGGTCAGAAATAGCAGCATTTATTTCAGATCCGGCAAGATCTGAAAGGCATCTATCTCTATGTGCAAGGCCTCCGTGCATTTTCTTTAAACTCACATTTTCCTCTCCTCATTTTTCTCTTTTATATTCAGCAAACGGGTGCAAAGTGCGTACTTTCTGCGAGGCAACTTTCCTAAGGTGGGTGCAATTTGGAGGCAGGGAATTTGCCTGAAAGCCCCTGCAATGGGGCATATCGCTTCAGCCCTGCCAGTCCACAGTCTTCTCACGGCTCGCTCAGTCAAGGCTGCTTGGCCGCCTCGGACAGCCTCAGCTCATCAGCGGGCAGTTCAAGGAACAAAATGCAGCTGAGGCTCCGCACGCCTGCCTCTGAGCAGTCTCTGTAAGCAGGGAGGTGGCATTTAGTATATCTGCTTGAAGCTTAATCTCTCATGCTCAAGTTAAGCAGGAGCACATCCATTGTTGCTTGTGGGATGAATCTGTCCTACTTACTGAGGAGGAAATTGTGCTGCTGGCATAAAAATCAGATTTAAAAAACAATCCTCTGGTTGTTAGAAATCGACAAAATCAACAAAAGAATTCAAAGAGATCATTCTGTCAGAGATGGGAGCTGTGGATTCTTTCTTCAGAATATGCTTTGTTTTCTGAGTGTAATAAACACTTTATTAGATAAAGTCTATTGCAACTGGAGCAGTCACAGTGAAAGGCACCTAGGTAATTTTTCTACCTTTCATTGAGCTGAACTGGAATGCAGGTAACGGGGCAGGCTCTCTTCAGCACCTTTTTAAGCCTGGAACGCGGGAGTGTATTTGGCAATTTTCCCTATAGATTGAGAACAAAGACTTCTGACATGTGGACACCCCAAATACCCAACAGGCTATTGAGAGAACTTGCTTAAGCAGACACATATTTTCAGAACCTTTTTAAAAATTCATTTATTGCACTTGAAATAAAGCAGGCATATCACTGGTTCGATAATGGTACAAAGTCAGAAAATACTTAAGACTGAAGCACATGTGTGATGAAGAAATAAATTCCTGTTCTCTGAAAGCTGCCCTAACATTGTTAGTTGGCCTTTATTCAAACTTACCTGAACCGCAGTGTTTGGGTTTTCATTTTCTTGTAATGATGACTTAGGTGCTGGGTGGGTGCTGTAACATGCATTTATTTACTCCTGAGGTTTTTATTTCCAACATATGTGGGGGATTTTAAGCACACTTCACTCTTTGTATCTTCATTTAATATGAAAGTGGTATCCTAGGGAGATAGCTGCTTTTAAGGGGAAGTGCTTTTGTTTTGCTTTGCTTTTTAAGGGGTTTTTATCACTTAAAATGCATTATTCCGTTTGCGTGTGGAGAAGAAAATAAGGGACGATGTTTGAAATTTTTCTAGTCTTCAACTGATTTTCCATGACTTTGAGCCCACTCTGAAGTGTTCAGGCTTCATGGAGTATCAGGAAAATTGCACAGTGTGTTCCTTCATTCTGCCTTCACACCTGTGTGCTGGTATGAAGATAAAAAAGTGTGATGATGTTGGAGCAGCCTGGCCCAGGCTAGGAAACCTGCCGAGGGCTGTGACTGGCTATGCAGCAAAGCCCTGCTCCTTTGTTAAGGTGGCCGCGTCCCTGCTAATCGGTGCTGGATTTTCAGAATGACAAATTAAAATTTCCACTTAAAAATCACACGTCATCTTGATAAGTTCAAATCCATCCAAATTGGAAGACAAAATGTGGCCAGCAGGTAAAGCCAATGAGGTGGATTGAATTTATGACACTGTTAAGGAAATAAAGCAAAAGAAAAAAATGTCTAAGATGCACTTCTGTTGAACAGATTGGGTTTGGCAGACCTTCTGACAGTGTGATAAACAGCACATCTTTTGAGAAATATCATTGCATGTTTGTTTTGGTTTTTGTTAGTTGTGGGGGGATTTTGAGACTGTTTTTTAAGATTTTTTGTTTTCTGAGAGATACAGGTATATGAACAAGAGAAGTTCATATAACAAAGTTCTTTCTGTTTGTTCATCTTAATAAAGCATGACAGAATTAGTAAAATTTTACAAGTACATGTGTAATCTTTAAGGGTAAATACACGTTTGGGAAAAAAAAAAAAAAGCACAAATCTTGCATTAACCAGGTTAAATACTCTATTTCTACTCTGCATTGCTTCAAAGCTCCACTGAATTCATCCACTGCCTGTTCTCTGAATTTATTTATCCCTGAGAAGGCTTGCATCATAGAAATTTTATTAAAAATATCAGTGTTCCCTAGTGGTCTTAACAGGTAAGTTTTGCTTCTACAACTAGATGGCCAAAGAACAGGATTAGAATAGAAAAGACAGCCACGGGTTATAAAGAGTTGGGTAACGAAACTGGGAGAAGTGTTATCCACAGCAGAACAACCACAAAGTCAACTCAGTCAGTAAGAGCTAAGAATTTTATTTTGAAAAAAAAATTAGTCTTAAATTCTGTGTGTTCACCTACATTGAGATGAAGGACTTGTCACTTCAGAAATCAGTGAGTTCTTGATTGTGTTGTGTGTTTTGTTTATTTACAAATTTAAAAGGCAGTGGGGAAGGGCATCATTGAGGAGACAATGTCCAAAGCAGGGTAGGGCGGATGAGGGGTTGAAGAGAACCGTGGTGTGGTAACCCTGAATAAGGGAAACTGGCCCCTGGCAATGAAGTGGGGTCAGAAATTGGAGATTCTGAGCCCAGTTTAAGTGTCAGCAAAGTACCTCTCTTGGTGAGCCTCAGGGCCAAATCACGAACCAGGTCCCTCCCTTTCCACAGGGATAGGGCCAGCTGTATATTTTCAAATGCAGACCTCACTTTTTCTACTCCTTACATCCTTCTGATTTGGCCCTCATGCCCCTCCCACTTGTTCAGCTGTACCTAAAATAACAAGCCACCCCTTCTATTCATGTTTTCCCCTTCTACATCATCCCTGAAGAAAAGCCCAGTTTTAGAGAAAAGTTTTAAAAGGCAATTCTTGGGCAAAAGAAAAGAGAATAATCCTGGCAAAGATAAGAAAATACAAAATGCGAGACTGTCAGCTAGAAGCTCATACTTGATTTGTCTAGGGTGTTAAAGCAGAAGCAGTGACCCTAGCACTCAGCCTGGATGTGGAGGACCCCCAAGGAAGAGACTTTTTAAATGGTCAGCTCATTTGCTGATGTTCCCACAGAAATGGGCATCCTTTGGCCAGCTAAAAGTGGCTCCCACGGTCATCAGCCCACACTACTAACTTCAGACCATGCCCATCTCTTCTCTTACGATACTCACATGCCAATTTATTTCTTTGAACTCATTTTATGAATAGCAACAAATGAGAGCTAAGATTAATGACTTTGAGTGAAAATGAAAGAACTCTCACTTCTCACCAACAGCCTCCCTACATTTCCAGATTATTCTTCCATTTCTCCTGCTTCCTCCTGTTAGGAGAGCAAAGCAAAGCAAAACAAAACAAAAACAAATACCACAAAAACTGTCCCATTGGGGGAACTATACTATCCATCCTCTCAATCCTCATCTGTTGATTCCCTGGTCATTTACTCATTACTGGAAGATGTGATCATTGCTTCACCCCCTTCTTCTCCATTGCTACTCTGTCTTCACTGTCACAGTCTCTGTTATCTACATGGATTCTCAGCCAACACAATGTCTCTTATCACTTCTTCCTCAACTATATCAGAATGATTAACAGTGTCGAGTTTATAGCCTCACTTCTTCACTTAGTATTTGCAATGGATATACTTTACGCAAACCTTTTAATATCCCTGTTCCCCACTTTAAACCCGAACAAAATGGGAATGATACCAGGAAGGAGAAAAAATAAACAAGCACGCATGGTTGATATTACATACGTGAATTTTGGCCATTCTTATGCTTAGGGACCTTCTACCTCGCGTATTTGCAGAGATGCATTTTACGTAATTTACAGAGAGAAATATATGGAGGTTAGAAAAATGTTCAACTGTTTGCTTCAATCCTGGTGTAGGGCCTGGTCTCTGCATACATTTTAGAGAAAGTATACATGCTTCCTTCTTGGAAACTTGATTTTAGACATAAAATTCAAACTAGCAGAAATCGATTAACTTCACAAGAGAAATGGTGGCAAACTATATGGTTTGTTTCCTGACTGTACCAACTTTTACTCATAGACCAAAAAATGGTAGTTACTCTTCGGTGTTACAGGAAAGTAGACACTTTGTCAGTGATATACAAGTCTGCCAATTTTAAGGGGTCTATTAAATGCTGATTTGATAAAAGAACAATCCCTCCAGTTTGGCAATTATCTCCTGCCAATTCTCCTCAGCCTCAATGTCAGCCCTTGGTTGGGAAAAATGGAAACATCATCAGGCGTTTAAACTTTACATTTTAGAGGCAGAGTGGTTTGGAGAACAGCCTGGTTTTAAATCCAGGATCGGCTATTTACTAGCTGCTTAGCCTTCCTCTGCCTCCTTTTCTTCATCT